CCTGGAGGGGAAGAGAGGAGTAATGTGAATTAAGTGGGGCCCATGGAGAGTAAATAAATTAATTAAATCTGAATTGTAATTTCAGATTTAATTATATTTTAAGTAACTTCCCCAAATAGATCTAGTCATGAGAGGGAAACGAATTCAAATTTCAAATAGCTCAAAATGTCATTAACTGCCTTGCCTTAAGAGGGATTCCTAATTAGGCAGTGAATTAACACGCCAGAATTTGGAATTCACGGGCTTGGCCAAAGCCAGAAGATTCGGTGGCAAAGGGGGCCTGCAAAGAGATGGTGGGCTGGGGGGGGGGAAGGAGGGCTCACGGCTTGGCTGTTAGCCGTGAGTTTGGGAGGCGGTAGAGAAGTGGCTGCACGAGAAGATCACCAGGCTGCTGGGACGAGTGCAAGGTTGCGGCCAAAGGCCTGGAGGGCCAATGAAACTGGCGGCCAAGGGAGCCAACCGCAGAACAGGGTGGGAGGCGGGATTGGTGGGTGAATTGGGTTGTGGGGAGAAAACCTCAGGATGACTATAATCCGGATGAAATTTCCTTGTGTTCTCACACTACTTGATCATAAAGAAAATCAGAAGAAGGTCTAGAACTCACAAAGAGATCATAAGTGGAAAATATTTTTTTCATTCATCAAAACTGAAATTACAATGCATGAGGCCTCATATAAATAGGCCAAAATGAAATAACAAGAAATGACACAAATGCCCTTCCGGGCTACATAAGCGACTCAATGCCCATAAGGGCAAAAGCGGAAAAACATCAAAATAAAATAAACTACTACATAAAATGATAAAATACAACTCATGCTCTTGGACGTCCATCTCCGACGTCTCATAAAGGTACATGTGTCGAAAATGCTAACGATGTCCTCATCATTTTCACCTCGGAAGAATGATTAGGACATCCGGCCGTAGAAAGTTTATTAGAGGAAGGATCAGAGATCTACGACTATGATCAGATTACTCTATTTTTGAGCATTTATTTATATTTGATTTATTATGTGCTATTTTTGTTTTTACCCCCATTTGAGGGAGTAGATTTATGTAACCCCAGGGGCACTTTGGTCATTTGACGTTTTTATTGTATTTTGTCTATTTATAGGCCTCACCTCCTCCTTGGGAGGGATGATAATTATTATGAATGAAAATTTATGCATTTTGTATCTTGTTGTGTTTGAGAGCCTTGAGAGTTCTTATGAGAGCTTATGTGAAGTCCTTAGGTGATGCCAAAGTAAGACCCGTGACCCGTTAGCTGTAGGAAGTGTCTGGGCTCATGGTTTATCTCCGCCTCCCCTATTGAGTTTGCCGCTACCATCATCTCCTCCCAAAGCTCCAACCGACCCTCTCCCTTCTCCTCCTAGCCTTGACCAAGCTCAACCTCCTCACATTCAAGCCTAGCCGAGCCATCACCCCCATACTTCACCTTGGTCGATCCTCCACAACCCCTCCCTCTCCTCATCATAGTCGCAGCCCCTCTTTGTCCTTGGCCGAAGCTTTCATGACCCCTTCCCCCCACTTTCCTTTATCCAAAATTTCAAATTAATCCTCCATCAATTTTCTAAATTAGCCTAGTTATAATTTTGAAAATCTGAATTCAAATTTGAATTCTCCTAAAAGCCTTGAATTCCTCTCCTAAATTGTTGGGTTATGTTTGAAAATATATCTCAATCAACCAATCTAAAATTTAATTGGAGATCCTAGTTAATTTCACTTCCTAAATTAGCCTAACGTTAATTTTGAAAATCTGAATTCAAATTCGAATTCTCCTAAAAGCCTTGAATTTCTTTCCTAAATTGTTGGGTTATGTTTGAAAAGATATCCCAATCAATCAATCTAAAATTTAATTGAAGATCCTAGTCAAATCCTCTTCTTAAATTAGCCTAGCATTAATTTTAAAAATCTGAATTCAAATTCAAAATCTCATAAAAGCCTTGAAGTCCATTCCTAAATTGTTGAGTTATGTTTGGAAAGATATCCCAATCAACCAATATGAAATTTAATTGAAGATCCTAGTTAATTTCTCTTCCTAAATTAACCTAACGTTAATTTTGAAAATCTGAATTCAAATTCAAAATCTCCTAAAAGCTTTGAAGTCCCTTCCTAAATTGTTAGATTATGTTTGGAAAGCTATCACAATCAACCAATCTAACAATTAATTGGAGATTTTATTTAATTTCTCTTTCCTTAACCACTAAGCTATAGTTCACAACTCCACTAAGGTTCCAAATCAGCCCCCTAATCATTTAGTGCTTGCCAGCCCCCCATTTTCACGCCAAGAGCTTGTTGTTTCCCTCCCAAATTATCCCAAAGACAGTCGCCTGCTGCTGAAATACAAGATCAGCCCGTTTCTCAGCCTCACTACCAGTTGTTCCAGGATTTGGCACCCACGTAGTTGTTGTCCAGAATTTTCGGAGGCATTAGAGTGCAGTCCGGGCGTGCAATCATGCGCTACCAAAAAGTCTAGGAATCATTTTGGTCAAATATTCTTTTCATTTTGATGTGCTTTAAAAAAAAAGTTACTTATTGTCTATATTATTATTTTTTGTCATTATCAATACTTTTGAATTCTAGGATCATGTGCGGACGAGCACATACAGGGCTGCAATCATGCGCTACCAAGATTCAATTGCTGGCAAGGTATATCAACACTTCATAGTTGCTGCAAAACATTTGAAAAATGAAAATATCTTTGTTTTTTCATCAGGAAAAAAAGAAAAAAGAAAAACTTAATAGATCATAAATTTCTTACCAATATTAATAACAATATATTCAGGTTGTAATGGATGTTGGGTGTGGCACAGGAATTCTTGCTATATTTTGTGCCCTTGCTGGTGCTAGGCGGGTAAGATATATCTTATTTCTTTCTGTAAACCCTAATGCTCCAATCTTTTGATGCACCGGCTTTCCCTTTTTATGCCTTTCCATCATGTTTTTATGACGCAAATTGATGCTTCTTTCCTTATGATTATCTTTTTTACTTTCTACATCTGCTATATTTGTTCAATAATATTGATTTGCAAGATCTGCTTCTGGTTTCAAGATTTGTCACTTAACTTGACACTTTCACGAAGAGTCAAACTGTAACCAGTCACTTCAAATAGTCTTTTCAAATGCATTTTTCCTTTGTGCAGGAAAAGAGATGAAACCTAAGCAGATTTGCTTAGGATTAGTGCTATGAAATCTCTTATTAGAGTAACTCAACATGCCAGTGATGCCAGTGAATGCTGATCATTTAATGCCCATTTCATGTACGGAAAGAATCAAAGTGTCGAGCTGGCATACTGACCATTCAGTGCCCACTTGATGCATAGCTAGGATCTAAATGTTGCTGCTTGTGTCCTTACTGGTGATATTCATGATTTGTACTTTTTCATGTGATTAGTGCAAACCTAGGTTGACATGCACGCAAAATATCACCATTCATAGTTTCACATAGTTTCACATCTTTTAGTTTAAGCAAAAATAAAAAAATTCTTTATGCAAAATTAAAGAAGACACTCAATTCATCTTTTCTTGATGCAAAATTAAAAAAGACACTTAATTCTTCCCAATCAATAATTTAAAACTTGACTTAGTTTGGATTCCATAAGAAATCTGAGATCAAATTTTCGTAACTTAAAAATAGAAACTAATGTGCATTGTGCACTGAACTTAACTAGATCTCAATAACACACATAAAATACTTAATTAAGAGTTTAGCTAAAAAAAGGCTGGGAGTCATCAATTTAAAGATTAAGAACTCATGTCGGTATAAGAAGAAGCATCACTCAGAAGTTTTCTTCAAGTCCTGCAGAGCGCTCAAAGAATTCACATTAGCAACTCATGTATTGAGAGGAAAAGAGGGATTTATTCAATCATTTATTGTACATTACATGTGGCAAGGGTTCTATTTATACTTTGTAAGACCTAAAATAGTAACTTTTAATGACCAAATTTGGCCTAAAGTTGCAAGTAATCTTTGGAAGCTTTCTTTAAGACGTGCTCTAAAAGAATTCACATTGACAACACACATGTATTGAATGGAAATGAATACAACAACAATTGTGCTGGGCGACAAGTGTGCTAGAGCTGCTCCCTGGAAGTGACGCGTTGTATGACCTGAATATAGCAATAAGTGTGCAAGGGCCGTTGCACTTGCACCTGAGTGTAGTGTTAAATAGGTAAGGGTTCCCACATCATGGATGAATGTGGGCAAAAAAACTAGTCCTTGACACTAAAATTAGGATATAAACTTGGAATATAGGTTTCCTTACAGGCAAATTAATGAAATTAATAGATATTATGATTCATAGGAAGATAAATATTCTATGCATTCATAAAACTAAATAGGTTGAAGAGAGAGTTAAGGAGATTGATAGTTTAGGATTTAAACTATGGTATTCTACTTAGAGTCATACTAGAAATGGTGTAGGTGTGATTATAGATAAGAGTTTAAAGGATAGTGTTTCTAAAAATTAATAGAATTGGAGATAGAATTATATATTTAAGATTGTTGTTGATATTAAGATTATTAATATTATAAGTGCTTATGATCCTCAAATTGATTTGTATATGGGTTCAAAATTAAAATTTTGTAATGACTTAAAATAATTAATTCAAAAGATAACTCTTAAAAAATTATTTTTTTATTGAAGGTGATTTAAATGAACATGTTGGTAGAGAGGTAGATGATTTTAATAGTATTCATGATGGCTATGGATTTGGAGCGACTAATGATGGTGGTAAGACCATATTAGATTTTTCTTTAGTTTATGATTTTGTAACTGCTAATACTTTATTTAAGAAAGTGATAAACATCTCATCACTTGTAAATAGATACAATAAACCTCAAATTGTTTATTTTCTTATAAGAAAATAAATTATAAACTCAAATTGATTATTTTCTTATATGAAAAATAAAACATTTAGATTTCAAAGTCTTGTGTGCCTTCGGTTGTCATGTGTGTGTCTTCCTTTTTGTTTTAAAATTTAAAAAAAAAATGGACAACCAAATCAAACTGCTGCAAGATGAAACTCCTATTCAAGAAGTATTTGAGCCTAGGGTCTTTGAAAGTCAGCCAACTATTCATTCGATTACAAATGATAACTTCCCAACAATAGAATGGGTACCACTTCAAGCAAGTTCTACTGATCCACTACAGAACGAACTTCTCAAAATGCGAAGAAAACAATATTTTTGTGCTGAGAGATATGAAAATAAGCAACGTCTACTTCAATAAGAAGTTGAGCAAGAAAAAGAAAAGATCGGAAGGAAGTATGACCCTCTAATACAGGAAACTAAGAAGGAATATTTTCATTTTGAAAAGATGGAGATTCTAGAAAAATTTTGATAAATTGTTTTGCATAAAGTTGCTAATGATGGAGAACCAACTGATCCTATGGATATAGAGTCTATGCCATTTTTAATTCCAATTCAAACATGATGATCTTGTTGAAGATGTCATAGATATCCGTATTACCCAAACATGACAAGAGGTGGACCATCAATTCTTAATTAAATGGAGTGGACATCCTTTGTCCGATTGTTCTTGGATTGGGGCTGTGGAGTTGCAACGTCGTCATTCAGATATTTTCCAGCATGTTACTGAGGCATTCTCATCAAGGGATGAGATTCCTCCAACATGGGAGAATTGATGCAGTCAAGATTTCCAAATTTATGTTTTCTTTATTTTTTTTGTGTTTCTAGCTATCTTTCTCTTGTGACTTTTCCTTTTTGTTTGTTGAATTTCCTTGCTGTTTGCTGATTTTTCTTGCTATTTGCTGAATTTCCTTGCTGATTTGCTAAAACTCATTGCTGTCTTTTCCCTCTTATGTTATCTTCTCATATTCCTGCTATTGTTTGGTCTTCCCTAAGTGGTTGTTTGTTCTTCCCATATTGTCTATTGGACTTCGATTTTCCCTCATGGCTCTTCATTTCCCCAGCTACCCCTTCAATTTTCTTGCTGTTTTTACTGCTTGCTGCTTATTTTCCCTGCCGTAGCTACGCAGTTTCCTCATTTGTTGAAACCTATGCTGGATGCATTATTTCCTAATTATTGGGATGATTTGGAAGAGTTTTTGGCTGTTTTGGAAGGCTTCTATTGGCTGTTTGGGTGGCAAATTTAAGTGAGCATTTAATATCATTTTTCCTTATTTTTCTATATAAGGTGGCTGATTTCTTTGTGGAAAAAAGAGTGAGTTGTGAAGAATTTTTTGAAAGTGAAACCTGCGGGTTTATATAGTTGCGAGCTATTTTCTTCTACCTCTCTATCTTCTAAAACTTTGTCTCGGACTTCTATCTACTTATTCTCTCCACATTTCTCATTCTTCCTCTATCTTTCTTCTCAAAACTTTGATAAGTTGTATGGTGTCGTTGCGTCGTGTTTTATTTTAAGTTCTAAGGTGTTGTGTCCTTTTTTATTTGAAGTTTTAAGGTGTTGTCTTTTTATTTTGAAGTTGTAAGGTGTGTTTGTGTTTGTTTAAGCTATTGTGGGATATAATAGTTTTGTTTTGTTCTATCTGTGTTTGTCTATGTTTTAAGGAAAGAAAGTCTTTAGTTTGCAATTCTAATGTTTTTTAATATTGCATCAATGGTGGTTAGACCTGCAATTTGTTATGGTACAAAATGTTGGCTATTAAAAGAGAAGTATAATATTAAGTTAAGTGTTGCTGAGATGAGGATGCTCAGGCAGATGAGCGGCTTTACTCTTAAAGACATGATATGGAATGAGCATGTACGTGAAAAGGTTGGAGTAGCTTCAGTGAAAGATAAGATTAGAGAGAGCCGCCTTAGTTAGTTTGGTCACATAAAACGGCGGCCTTCCAATGACCCGGTTAGGAAAGTAGATGTATTAAATTTGACTTATGTTAAGAAAGGTAGAGGTAGACGTAAAAAGTCTTAGAAAATATTAGAAATGACATTTTTATTAGATTTAAATGAGAATTTAACTCTTAATAGGACACAATGTAGAAAAAAGATTCACGTAGACGACGACACAATGTAGAAAAAGATTCATGTAGATGACCTCACATAGTGGGATAAAGGCTTGATTTTATTGTTATTGTTGTATGTATTGAATGGAAAACTATGATCTTATTCAACCATTCATTAAAAATTACGTGTCAGGTGTCCTACCTATGTCACATAAGACCCAAAATCAGTAACTTTTCAAAAAATCAAATATGGCCTATAACTGCTAGTTTCAATTCATTCAGCATAAAAAACAGAGGTTCAAATGTTTTTTTTTCAAGTCCAGGTCCATCATCGCCAACGTAAACTTTCTAATTTTAGAAAAAAGATTGTAGGAAGGAAATTGACTCTGCCGCAAAAAAGGAAAACCTAAGAACGAAAGAGCTGTCTTAAACAAATACAGGAAACCCGAAAACCTGAAGTAACTATAATTATAATAGATGGAACTCCTCTCAACATATCTTGTGGTCGAAGCTATAGTAAGGATGGGGACAAGCTGACAAACAATAATCGAAGACAACCAATAACAAAAGAAAGATGCAGGGAGTGCTGCAACCTATTGAAATTTGAATAATCTCGATGCTTGTTGAATTGAAACCACTTGCAATAATAAACCAAAGTCTGTAGCTTCTTAATGTCTAAATATGGACTAAAAGTGCAAGTTTTAATTCAATCAACCTAAAAACAAGAGTTCAAATCTTTGTTTTCAAGTCCAGGTCCATGATCACCAACTCACCCATTCCAATTTATTAGAAGATTGCAGGAGGAAAATCAACTGTGCTGCAAAAGGGAAAGGCTGAGCAGGAACGAGCCGTAAAAATCAAACACAATAAACTTCTATAGCAAAACAGGTAAAGGAGGTATAGAATGCCCCTTGAAGAAGGAAAGAGTCACATAAGACAACTAAAATTAGAGCAGTTGAAACTCTTCACTACACTTCTCGCGATTGAAGCTATAGTAGGGATGGGGAAAAACAACAATTGAAGGTATTGAAAAAAGAAAAACATAGTGAGTGCAACAACTTATTGGAATTTGAACAATACTTGATGCTTTTTGATTGAAACCACTTGCAACAGCAACGTAATTGAAACAATATAAAATATATATTTTTCTCGTAAGAATCGTCATCTTAGGCATGTTACATCCAATAAATGAACTAGAAAACAAAAACCATAAATGAAACATTTAAACATCACAATTCAGAATATTGATGCACTTACCTTAAAGTCTTTCATCATTTGTTTCCAACGAGTATGCACTTTCAAATTCCCATCACCATGACTAACTGTTCTAGTACTTGGTAGGAAAGCAAGATTATGGAGCTTAAAAAGAATAGTATAGATATTTATGTTTATATACACACGAGTGAGCTTGATGTAGGCTTTGGCCACTTTTAGCTGCACCAAGGTTATTGTTGGCATGTTACTTCCTGTGTTATTGGCATGGTGTTGCACGAACTGCTATCTGAACTCATTTTTTAAACCACGGAAAGCTCAGTGGCATTTGCTTTATCTTTGTTTGGTTATTTAAGGAAGGGGTGAACATACCAGAGATATTGATGCAAGCAAAAATTTGGGAAAATCCCCAAATTTTTGGGAGCAAAATCTAAAACTTCATAGGAAATAAAAATTACATAAAAGAACACAAAAGACAACTTTTATAATAAAAAGATACTTACAAACTTTGACACAAATACAAACATAAACATAAAAACCTAAACTTGCATTTCATTTTCTTTGAGAAGAAGGATACAATTGGAAGAGAACTTGCGGATAGAAGAAAGAGGTAAGGAGCCGAGACGAAGGAGGAGAAGCTCGCAAGCTTTCCTAGAAGAAGAGAGGAATGGAACAAGCTCTTAAGCTTTTCCACGACGAAACCCGCGGGTTTAGGCTCCCAAAAATCACATTATATCAACCTATAAAACATACAAAACACCTTTTATTTATATGGAGTCAAATATTCCATAATTACCCTAATTAAAACCAATTAAAAGAGATAAAATGGAAGGTCAAGAGGTTGTCCAAAAACATCACCTAAACAGCCAACATTCACTTCAAAACAGCAGCTGAAAAGGCTCACAAAAATAGAGAAAAGTAGCCACGGGAAAGGAGCAGGCAACACAAAACAATTCTAAAAAATCAGCACAGGAAACGGGTAGGAGAAGCCATGGGAGCACAGTCAGGGAGGGACCCGAAGAGCCATCCCAGAACCTGGGATGGAGAAGCCACGGGAACATAGCGAGCAAGTAGCACAGGAAACGGGTAGGAGAATTCACGGGAAAGCAGCCAGGAGGAAAACCGAAAAAGCAACCAGCACCTAGCATCAATTCACGGGATAGCACAAGGAGAAACCAAGGAGACACAAGAAGGGGAAGAGACAAAGGCTGCGAAGGGAAGAAACCTAAGAGTCACAAGGGGGAAATGAACCTAATTAAAGATAAATTTATGAGCTGAATTAAGTAGAAGAAAAGTATTTATGAGCTGACATCTAGTATAGGAAATTAAAGCTTACCAAAAATTAAACCCCCCATTGCCTATATCAATTCTCCTCCGGTTGAAAGAACTCATCTCCCGATGAGGTCACTTTAGATTTGATCCAAGGAGACGAAGTAAGCGCATCAAGCTCTTGAATCTTGTCTTCATATTTCTTCAAAATTTCTTCTCGTTCTTTCTTAAATTATTCTTGCAGATGCTTCTTTTTCTTCAAATAATTTTTCATACTCATATGCAATCACGACTGAAGTTTGTATAGTTCATTCTGTAGGGGGTCTGTCGAACTTCCTTCCGTCGGAACCCATCTGTCCATTAGAATAATTTCTTCGATATCTTTGGATTGATTTTCATTCACCACTAGATCACTGTTTTTATCTTTCTTCATTTTTTCTAAAAGAAGACTCAACAAAATTTAAATCACTTGATAACAAGACTCACACAACAACTGTTATGACTCACCAAGACTCACCTGACGAACCTGCTCTGATACCAAATTGATGCAAGCAAAAATTTGGGAAAACCCCAAATTTTTGCGAGCAAAATCTAAAACTTCCTAGGAAATAAAAGTTACATAAAAGAACACAAAAGACAACTTTTATAATAAAAAGACACTTACAAACTTTGACACAAATACAAACATAAACATAAAGACCTAAACTTGTATTTCATTTTCTTTGAGAAGAAGGATACAATTGGAAGAGAACTTGTGGATAGAAGAAAGAGGTAAGGAGCCGAAACGAAGGAGGAGAAGCTCGCAAGCTTTCCTAGAAGAAGAGAGGAATAGAACAACCTCTCAAGTTTTTCCACAACGAAACCCGCAGGTTTATGCTCCAAAAAATCACATTATATCAACCTCTAAAACATACAAAACACCTTTTATTTATATGAGAAAAGAGGGCAGCCAAACAGTCCATAATTACCCTAATTAAAACCAATTAAAAGAGATAAAATGGAAGGTCAAGTCCAAAAATCACACCTAAACAACCAACATTCACTTCAGAACAGCAGCTGAAAAGGCTCACAAAAACAGAGAAAAGCAGCCACGGGAAAGGAGCAGGCAACACAAAACAATTCCCAAAAACAACACAGGAAACCGGTAGGAGAAGCCATGGGAACACAGCCAGGGAGGGATCCGAAGAGCCATCCCAGAACCTAGGATGGAGAAGCCACGGGAACACAGCTAGGGAGGAACCCGAGCAAGCAGCACAGGAAGTAGGTAGGAGAATTCACGGGAAAGCAGCCAGGAGGAAAACCGAAAAGACAACCTGATGTGATACCACATGCGAAGGAGCTTCTTAAGAAAATTAAAAGTGATTGACAATGGAATTACAATCAAGAGCTTATTGAGATAACAAGTAAAATCATTAAAGGTTCTTAGTTGTTAACTTGCTTAGGCAAAGGAGTACAAGTAGATTAACCAAAAACTCATGGATAACCAAAGATAGTAGCAATACCAAAAGCTATTAATCAACAATCCGCAACGAATTGCTCGTCGATGACGTCTACGAGCGTGGGGAGGATGCGATTCAAGTAGTCTTCAACGGTGTCGTCGAAATCAAAGCCCACATCAAAGAACGGCGATTGGTGGATGTCGACTTGACCTCGATCGTCATGCACAAATCCAAAGTTCCATTCGGATTCCGCCATGCATGCTTGGCGTCGGAGAATCTTCCACACGAAGAGAGGAAGAACGTGGTGTTGAAAGTGAGTACTTGTCGTTTGATAAGATGGGAGAGGAGGGGAGAGGGCCGGCGGGAATCTCAAGGAGAGAGGGTGGGGGCCGGCGGGTGCAAGAGGAGGAGGCTAGGGCTTGAGGGAAAATTGGTTTTGGGGAATTATGGAAGGGATTACTCAAATCTGAAATTTAATTTCAGTTTGAGTAATTTAGGAGGGAATAGATTTGAATTTGAACTTTCAAATCCATTGGAATTAATGCCTTGATTAGGGAATTAGTGGGGAGTTTAATATGGGGGGTGGCCGGCGGTTTCAAGAGAGGAGAGGGAGGAGTTTTAAACAAAACCTGAAATTAATTTCAGGATTTGAAATAAAAGGGTGGGAATTAATTTGAAATCAATTGGATTTCAAATTTGGGGAAGGGGAGTTAATTAGCAATTAATGGGAATAATTCCCACTAAGGGTCGGCGGCATGCTAAGAGAAAGAGAGAGGGAAATTCAAGGGAAAAGGTTTCCAATCTGGGATGATGACGTGGCAATAGGTTTCATAACTCCAATTTGAATCAAATTGAAATTGAATTCCATCATGAAAACCTTCCTAAATTTGGAGTTCCGAATTAGGAAAGAATTCGAAATTTCGAATTTCAAATTTTTAAATTGTGTAGGGAAGAGGTTGGGTGGGAGAAGGGAAGTTTCCGGCGAGGTGGCCGGCCGGGGTTGAGGTGGTGGTTGGCGGCGGGTTCCCAAGGGGCGGCGACAATGGGGGTGAGGCGGGATTTCTTGTAGTGGAGGGAAAGAAGATGAAGGAAAACGCGAACGAGAAGATAGAAAAGTCTAACCACGAGCCGCGGACTCTTCCAACGACTGGTGGGCCTTGCGATTTGTTCCCCTTGAGCTCTCTCCCTTCTCAAGCCCTCATGCAAGAAGAAGTAGAAACCAAAAGCAATTTTTTCATTCAAACATTCATTAGCTATTACAAGATAAAAGACCCATATATATAAGTCTCAAGCATACATGAATAAATAAAGACTAAATTGCCCTCAGGGCCCCAACATGACTCAACTCAACATAAGGGTACAATAGGAAAATATAAAAATAAAAATGCATAAACAATTAGAAAAATAAGCTCTGAATCGTGGCCATCGATCGGTGATGCTTCCGGCTATACACATGTTTGGACTTTGGATCGATGTCCTCATCACAACCAGCACCTAGCATCAATTCACGGGATAACACAAGGAGAAACCAAGGAGACACAAGAAGGGGAAGAGACAAAGGCAGCCAAGGGAAGAAACCTAAGAGCCACAAGGGGGAAATGAACCTAATTAAGGATAATTTATGAGCTGAATTAAGTAGAAGAAAAGTATTTATGAGCCGACATCTAGTATATGAAATTAAAGCTCACCAAAAATAAAACCCAACTTGTTTTGACCCCCCCTTGCCTACATTAGATATATTTTGTTAATTTGGTGAATTGTTTAATATTTGTCCAACTGGCAAAATGCTTTACATAATGCATTTTATTTTTATTTTTTCACTTAAAATTTGTTTTTTTTTTCCCTCTTTTGAAGAAAAGCAGGTCATTCCCTTCCATATGCCATACATGCAGTTGCAACATTCTTTTATACATTCTGAATGCTTTGTTCTTATAAAACTGATGGTCTTTAGGTATATGCAATAGATGCAAGTGACATCGCATTTCAGGTACTTGTTCTTTTGACTGTGATCCTTGGCATAGCTTCATATTACTTTTTCTTTTGTTGTTTTGCTTTTTTTAATACCTTTACAGGCTTAAATATTTGCTCAAGCCAAATCAAGGGTGATTCATTGTGAGAGTATTACTCAGCCACATTTTATTTTTTTTGCTTCCTTATTTGAAGGAAAAAACTTTTTTATGTTCCAATTTTTATTTTCTTCTTGTTAGATGATAATAGTATAATCATGAGCTTTTGAGCTTTTTTCCAAGTTCAGTTACATACCTTAAAAAGTTCATAGGTTATTTGTTAATTCATTATGTCTAACTGTAAATTGGTTTATTTTAAATGAATAGAATCATACGCTGATCTGATCTTTGCTCAAGTTTTTTTCCTAGCTATAAGCTATGATCGATATCTACTTGATCTTTTAATGTGTCAAATACCTTGATTCATTTGCATATTTGAGTTCTGAGGATGGCTCTTCTTAGATCAGGGCTTTTAGGGCGACCAAGTGGATTTGTAAGGATACCCTTGGAGGTTCCCTAAGGTTCTCATTTCCTGAATTTTGATGAGGCAGATTGATAAATTGACCCCATAAAAATATTAATGTTCTTTCCTTGTGTTTTTACTATGGTATCAAAAAGGACAATTATCTTCTAACTGATGTGAAACGTAATGCATGGAAACAAGAACTGCTTGGGAATTTTAATAGAAGATTATTAAAACTTTGCTAGTTATAGAATTAATGCTTACCCAAGTTAGGCTTTCAAAATTATCAAATCGAAATTAAGTAAGGCATGCGGTTACAACTAGATTAACGGGACAATATCAAATTGACAACATAATAATAGATAGAGTAATGTTATGGAAAAACAATAATCCACGGCTAACAAATAGAACTTTTCACCTTGGGTCCCTCACTCAAGCTCTTGACGGTGGGGTTTTAACGGAGGAAGATTGAGAGCAAACCGAGCAATGCCACTAAGAGAGAAATGGTGCCCAAAGTCTTGTCCGTTGGGGAAGTAACCGGCGACGGGGAATCCACGGGATGACTAGTGAGCATCCAATGTCCGGGAAGGTTGTGCTCCTCGATGGAAGGTACACCAAAGAAATAGGAGATATGAAGCTTTGGCGTTGACTGAAATTGCTGGACAGCAGCTGTCCAGCACTGGATCTCCTTTGGGCAGCAATTGGGGTAGATTCTGGACGGCTAAACAGCAGACTAGCTTGCTTTGGACGTCAAGGCAGCAAGCTATTTTGCTCCGGGAAGCTTCTAGACAGGAAACTGGGCTGTTTCTGAAATCTGGACAGCAATTCCTAAAGCATGATCAGCAGCTTGGGTTCCCTGGATGGCTGAACGGAAACAGAACCTCGGCTGGAGCCTTAGGATCACAAAAGAAAAAGCTGGGACAGCAATTTGCAAGATTTGGAAATGAGGACAGCCACTGTAAACGTCCAGAATTTTACCAAATCTGAAGTTTATTTCAGATTTAAAATAAAAACTGCAGTTTTAATTTCAATGTCAGATTTGGAATTTGAACTTAGAGAAAGAAAGGGAGGGGAATTAAAGAGGTATTTAAGTAGTGTTTAAGTGGGGATTGGAGAGAGAAAAGAGGAGGGGGTGGCCGGCCCCATGAGGAGTTGAGAGAGCCATCAGATTAATGATGTGGCCTCTCCTGAGAAAATCAGGGAATTATTAAATCTGACATTTAATTCTCAGGTTTGCTATCACAGGAAGTCAGGAAGATTTCCTCATTAGCTTGCCTCTAGAGACGTTGGAATTCTTCCGTTAAATGAGAAGAAGTAAAATAGCCTAACTTTCATAATAGAAGGGGCTGTAGAATAGGAAAGGAATTAAGGTTTTTGCATTGAAGTTCAAATTTTGAAACGGGTTGCTGGTGGGCAGATGTGGAGTGGCTGTGGGAGCGGGAGGGAGGGACGGCCAGCTGCTTGGTCGCAGGGAAGGCCGACGGTGGAGCTTGGGGGGTGGTGGGGAATTGAGAAAAAGAAGGGGATTTCGGCTAAGTGGGGGAGAAAAGATTGGGGAGAAGAACAAAGAAATTTCAAATGACAAACCTTGAACACCAATCCACCGGTAGAACTCACAAAGAGATCTCCGACGGTCTCCTCTTCAAGAACTCACAAAGAGATCTTTAGAGGTTTCATTAACTCACAAAGAGAACAAAGAGCAAATTTTCATTTCATCCAAAACTAACTATTACATAAAAAAATGGCCATATATTGGCCTCCAAATGACAAAGAAAATAAAAGACTAAAATACCCCTTGGGATACAATAGCGACCAAATACCCATAAGGGCAAAAGCGAAAAAACTGAAAAAATAAAATAAACTACTAAATAAAATGACTCAAAATAAAACTCATGATCGTGGCCGTCGATCTCTGGCGTCTCCTGATGGTACATGTGTCGAAATCTCTGACGATGTCCTCGTCACTAACTGATGTGAATCAATGCGAATTGCACATAGAAAATTAATAGAAGTATTGATTCAAAACTTGCTACCAAAACTCTTTGCTTAATCAAGTTGAGTTCACGAATTAGATGACGATAAATTAAGTAACGACAAGAAATCACATTTAGAGATTAGAAGACTTTCAAAATAACATCAATAATTCAAGTAGTGCAAATGGCTAAGAATAACAAAGCCCCAAATTTAAAATTTAAATCCTTCACCTTAAGATCCGTCACTCATGTTTATAGTGGTGGCTAGCGGAATAGGACCGTAAGTAGGCTCAGCGACGCTTCTAATAGGCAAGTGATCTTGAGAGGACTTGTCGCTGGGGAGGGAGCCGGATTCGGAGGAATTGGTGGACGGCCTTCAATGATCCACGTGTAGACGGAGAAGTGGTCGTCAATGGACTCCACTAGTGGTGGTAGAATCCGATCCAAGTATTCCTCGACAGTGTCGTCAAAGTCGAAGCCGACGTCGAAGAAAGGTGACCGGAGAATATTGACCCTTCCGCGGTTGTCGTACTCAAACCCGAAGTTCAATTCGGGTTCCTCCATACATTCTTGACGGCAAGAGTGAGCGGTCGCCGCGAGACGTTCTCAAGTGGAGGAGAGAAGTGGCTCGGGCGTGGGAGGAGAAACGGCCAAGAGTAGGTGGGTTAGAGAGGTTCGGCCAAGGTGGGAATCCAAATAAGGGTGCAGGAATTTCTGCAGAAAATTTAATTTTGGAGAGGTTAATGGGGTGGATTTAATTTGAAATCCAAATTAAATCTAAGGGGAATTATGGGCGGCCAAGGGAGGGAATTGGGGGCTGATTTTGTGGGATTAATGAGGTGATTAGGAGAGAGAAAGGGGCCCAATGAAGGGGCCGGCCATAGAGAGGAAAGAGGGAGGAGTTTATTTTGGTGAGTGGGGACCACAAAATCAATTTCAGAATTTGAGCAAAAGCTGAAATTAAAATTTCAGTTTTATTAGTAATAGGAGGTTTCTTAATTAAAGCAATTAATTGAATTGGATTTGAATTTCGAATTCAAACTCAATTCTAATTTATTGGATTGCAATAATCAAGGGAGCAATTTAGGAAACCTTTAATGGCCATAGAATTCCTAAAATTCAGAATTTGAAAATTGACAGAGGAGGGAAAAAGGAAGGCGGCGGCAATGTGGACAGGAGCCGGCGGCTGAGGGTGGTCCGGCGGTTGCTGGCCGGAGGAGGGGTCGGCGGGTGGAGCTGGGCAGGTCGGCGGATGGGGTTTGGCAGGCCGGCGGGAGGAACTTGCAGGGATCGGGCTGGGCTGTGAAGCCGGCGGCCTGACTAGATCCCAAGGGGTCGGCGGCACTAGGGAGGGGAGGGAAAAAACTGGAGAAAACTGAGATTTTCTCTGTCTTTGGACCCTCTTACTTCAAGATTTCTTCACAACTCTACTTCCACACAATAAGCTTGGACTAATTCTAGAACTCACTAAGAGATCTAGTTCTCCCTTTGAACTCACTAAGAGATCAAAGGGAAATGCACTCACAAAGAGAACAAGGGGATAATTTTCATTCAACCAAAAACTAAAACTTCCAATGCATCATGCCTCATATAAGGAGGCTCAAATAAAAGAAAATGAAAAGACATAAACGCCCTCTGGGCTACATAAGTAGAACAATGCCCTCAGGGGCAAACTAGGAAAACTAAAGAAGTACACATGACATAAGTTGTAAATAACTCAGAAGTAGAGGCTCTGGATCGTAGCCATCGATCTGCGCCGTCGGCGATGGTACACGTGTCGAAATCTGATGTCCCCATCACTAACATTCAAATTGTGAGCCCGGTGGCTCAATTGCTCATCACTTTGTTCTAATTTTTTTATGTTAATATCTAAATATTGCAAGCATCAAGATTAAATGGGAATGAATATGCTATATGAAGAACAAACCAGAAAAATGTGCTGAATGCAATTAGACAATATAGTTATATACACAGGTGCAAGTTTATTATCACCTTGTCGTGACAAAAGACTGATAAAACTTCTATTGAATTTTGTGCAATAACAATGTTTGTTTTGCGCCTAACACTATGCTATAGATAAAGCAAGGTTAAAATATGGTGTCTTATTTTATGATCAATGTGCCCAATTATTTTGCACTATAGATTCTCAATTTTGGTGGAGCAGTAGGTGCAGCTGCAAGTGTCATTCAACCTCACTTACGAGACAGTTTTCCTTGGCATTGACCACCTTGCAAGATAATTGTGCTCCAATTGCAACAAATTCTTCTTGGATGAAGTTCCGATCTCATAGATGATGCAACAATGAACTCTCCAAGAATGTCAATGTTTCACCAAATTAGTCATCATCGCTGGCTGTCTGCTGTGGCTGCCAGCTATCTGGGTTCAGTTTTCAACCTAAAGAGTTGATGGTTGATGCTGTGAAGCTGTCTGGGGTTTTAGCGGACTGAAATAACTTTGAAATATTTTCATTGAATGCTGCAGAAAATTCTATGTACAACAGTGTTGTGGTTGTTTCGGAACACAATGGCATATAGAAGGATTTTTT